AAACCATTTCAGGTGACTACCTCTTGAAGCTCATGGAGAGAATGCCAAGAGTGTGCAAAGCAGTAATCAGAGCAAAGGGTGGCTATTTTGAAGAAACTAGAATATAAAACATGTTTTCAGTTATTTCACCTTTTTTTGTTAAGTACATAACTCCACATGTGTTCATTCATAGTTTTGATGCCTTCAGTGAGAATCTACAATGTAAATAGTCATGAAAATAAAGAAAACGCATTGAATGAGAAGGTGTGTCCAAACTTTTGGCCTGTACTGTATATATATTTTTAGGGGCAAATGCGAGTGAAATGCTCGCACTGCACAGCACTTATGCCCGTGCCCGACAGAAACTTCACCACGCCGGAAATCCGGTGCTATGCCAGAGAACTTTAACCCCTGTATCAAATAATAAACAAACCCTCCAGTTAAGTCAAAATGTAGAAAAAGTTTACATCATGTTTACATTAAGACCAAGTCTAAAGGGGGTCGATACAAAATTAAGATGGAGGTTCAAGACATTGTTGCAACAAGACATCATCTTTCCAACATGCAAACCAGAACACAACAAGGCCAAAGAACTTGCTGGGATTAACCAGCACCACAAAGCACACAGCAGAAAATCTTCCAGTGATGCTCCTGCTTTAATAACAGTTTATGTTTCTTTAAGGCATTTCAGTGGGCTTTTACTCACCTCCATCATGTCTGACAGGTGTAGGTGAGCAGGGTAATTTCTCCAAATCACTCATCTGGACTATAGTCAGTGTGACTGCTCTGTAAACAACATTTAACGGTGAAGAATCAACACGTATATACACTGATGCATTTCACACACACTTACGTCAAGGAATTGGCCATTTAAAGCAAATATACACACATATTAGTCAGAAAAGGCTCTGCTGTTTGAAGAAGTTCTCAATGACTCTGTTCAATCTTAATCTCAATCACGTTCAATCTTAAATCAACAAGACTAAGAAATTGGTGTGAGCGCATCACAGTCAGAGTAATCAGTGAGAAGTGTCAGGTCATATTGAAGACACTATGAATATTATTGGTTGTTACTTGTCAGCTGCTAACCAAGAAGCTGATGGATGAGCAACTGATGCTCAGCCTGAATGAACTAAGTGCTGCAATCTCCTCTCACACCTTAAACTCTTACTTAAAGGGAAATTTCGGTTTATTTCAACCTGTCTCCTATCGTTCTAAATTTGTTTCAAGTGACTAGTGACATAAAAATAATAGTTAGCATGTTAGCCGTTAGCCTAGATACAGCTGGGGCGCATAGTAGCATCAGACCTGTTAATACGTAAGTGAACGGGCAACCTTCAAGTGCAAAGTTAGTCCACTAAACAAACTTTTTTTCCATAAAGACCACCTCATATCGTTAGGATAAATGTCAGAGAACATATAGAAAACGACATGTAAACGTGTTGTCTTACCTTACCGGTGTGTTGCCATGTTTGTTTACCATTTAGCTCTGCTTTCCAAAGCGCGGCCGAAATATCGCGAGCAGCGATCTCATACCGTGCCTGAAATCTCGCGAGAACAAGCAGCAACAGCTGGAAGGCAGAACCGGACAGTAGCCTGAAAAGTTCATTCATTTATTTTATGAAAGATTTATAGAATAATGGCTGACTTTTTGCCAGACTTCGACTTTGTCACTCTGACATGTATCCTAATGACATGAGGCGGTCTTTGTGGAAAAAAAGCTTGTTTAGTGGACTAGCATGTTTTAACAGATCTGATGCTACTAATGCGCCCCGGCTATCGTAGTTAGCATGTTAGCCGTGAGCCTAGATACAGCCGGGGTGGCTGTATCTAGGCTAACGGCTAACATGCTAACTACGATAGCTAACATGCTAACTACGATAGCTACGATAGCTACGATAGCTACGATAACTACGATAGCCGGGGCGGCTGTATCTAGGCTAACGGCTAACATGCTAACTATTATTTTTATGTCACTAGTCACTTTAAACAAATTTAGGACAATAGGAGACAGGTTGAAATAAACCGAAATTTCCCTTTAAGCAAAGTATATCTGTACCTAAAGATACTCTCTAATTGGATGTTAACTGTATCCAACTGTACTATCCAATATACCACCTGAGAACAACAAATAGGCTCATCAAACTGACTCCAACATGTACGGACCTCAGAGTTTCCAGTCTGTAGTGTGGACTCTTCACAAGATCAGACAGCAGCATCACTCCTGTGTCCTGCAGGTAATTGTAACTCAGCTCCAGCTCTCTCAGATGGGATGGGTTGGACTTCAGGGCTGAGATCAGAGAAACACAGCTGATCTCTGACAAGCGGCAATGACTCAGTCTGAATAAAGAATAAATTATAAAGATAAGAATCCATTTATAATCTAATGAGATGTGTGTGTGTGTGTGTGTGTGTGTGTGCATGTGTGTGTGTTGTGAACTGCTGTGTTTGAGAAAAATTCAATAGATGCACTGTTAAGTAAAAAAGAAACAATTCTTTTGTGACTGAAAACTAAATTTAGTACAAGAATACTGAAATTATGAACAACGCCAAATACAAAACTTTATAACACAACTTACATCCAGCAATTAGGTTCAATTCTTAATTAAACATATAAGATCTAATAATAGTAACAGAAAGACACTGAACTGACTTTAGAGTCTCCAGTCGACACTTTGGACTCTCCAATCCAACAGCCAGCATCTTCACCCCTGAATCCTGCAACATGTTGTCACTCAGGTCCAGTTCTCTCAGCTGGGAAGAGTTGGACTTTAGAGCTGAGGCTAGAGACTCACAGCTGATCTCTGTTAAACTGCACTCACTCAATCTGAATAAAGAATAAAGTATGTATGTTTATGTGTTCAGAGAGAGCAGTTTAGAAAATGGAAACTCCAAACAGCTGAACTCAACAGGATGCAGGTTAAAAACGGTAAAATACAAAAAATGAAATAGAGCTCTCATTAATATTAATGATATGGTGCTGATGAGTGTAGGGTTTTATTTTTCATATTATGGTTTTAAATCTACCTCTACATTGCTCTCCCACATTGACATGAATTTGAGATGGTGGTTTTCCCTTCTAAATATCAGCCTGATGTCTGCAGTTCAATGTCACTACAACTCTCACATCATAATACCTTAGCACAAAAGTAAAAAATAGTGTCTGACCCCAGAGTCTTCAGTCTACAGTGTGGACTCTCCAGAAAATCACGCAGCAGCATCACTCCTGAATCCTGCAGGTCATTTTCACTCAGGTCCAACTCTGTCATATGGAAGGGGTTGGACTTCAGAGCTGAGGCCAGAGAAACACAGCTGACCTCTGACAAACTGCAGTGGCTCAATCTAAATAAAGAAATAAATGATGAAGAAAAATATCCATTAATCCAATCAGATGTTTTCAGGTTTTAAATGTGTATCTCAATATTACTATGTCCTAATCAATGAGCTTTTCCCTAAAATGACGTCATCATAATGTCAACCTTCTACAGACATCATCCAAATATCACCACAGCATTCATACACCTATTCATGTCAACACAGATTAAAAACACGCTGCTGATCTCAGTCAAGTCTGTTATTAGAGGATCAATACTATATTGATTCTCAGAATTCTTCTATATGTGTGTGTGTGAGATGGTGGTGGTGGTGGTGTGTGTGTGTTGGGGGGGGGGGGATGTTCTGAATGATCAATAACAATAATCTGACATTTTCTGTGAAAACACTGAAATTAACAGTGAGTAAATTTAATCAAGTTTAAACATACCTGAGTTCAGAGGATCCTCTGTATACAGAAACATACTGTTCCTAACAGTGGATATTTTCTACACTTTCTTTAATTTTGCACTCCACCCCCATTTTGTTACCCTGGAAATCCAGAGTTCTCGCAAGAGCACAATTTGGATTTACTCAGCGAGTCACTCTGGCAATCAGTAATGATGCTCATTATCTATGCCCATGAAACTGAGCTGCACCAATCGCATCGGTGTATCTGATATAGGCGGGCCAGAGGCGAGCTAAACAGATGGCGACAGCGAAGTCCGGAATCAGTCAGTAAACACTGCAAGATGGCTATGGATGAACACCAGTTGTTTGAAACGGCTTTGGCCGCTACAATGAACGAGTTAGACTTGGCTTTTTCTCTAAAAGAGGAACAGAAGACGGCGCTCGAGTCTTTCCTATGCAATAAGGACGTTTTTGCTGTTTTGCCGACCAGATACGGCAAGAGTCTAATCTACCAGTTAGCTCTGCTGGTAGCTAAGCGTATACATCACCCCGTATATTGTTCTGATTGGTTGTAGTGTTATCCAATTGCGTGTAGTGATATTTACAAATGCATGCTTGGTGCCGCCCCTCGAGTTGGGCCATTTTCATTACTCATAGCCAGACCCTAAATCTTTCTAGATTTGGGTCTGGATTTCCAGGCTACCATTTTGTAGCAAAAACGCCTAAAATGACATACCCAAATTGAAATGATTGTAGCTTCTGTACTGCTTTGACTACATGCATGCATGAGGTCTTGCCAGAAAGAAAACTCCCTGAAGTTTCTTGTGAAAGTGTTACAAACACTCTAGGTGATACAGAGACAGAGTAATGGCCCTTTGAAATCAGTAAAAAATTGAAGATTTTGGGCCTCCTAAAATAAAAAAGTGTTTTTCAGGATGAATAACTATCTGTGGTTTCATCTGTGGAGATAAAGACAGTATGGGGCTGTAGGCACACTATCAATGAACACTTGTTTCAAATTTGAAGAAGAAAGCACAAAGTATGACCATTCTACAGTGTTTTTTCCATGAAAAGACCCAGGTAGAGCTCAAAAAGATAAGTCGGTCTCTCGGCTTCAAAAGAGTTCTGTCAGTAATCAAACAACACTAAGCCAGCTTCTAACATTGTACCATATTGAAATCAGGCGTGATTGTGATAGCCGATGTTTTTTGACACAGAAACACCATAAAATATCACCAGAATAAAGCCACACATGAAACGTGAAAGTTATGACCCCACTTTCTAGATGCCAAAAATAGTGATAGGAGGAGACTCTTACCTTTTATAAAACAGCTGTCCATGCTAACAGCCGCTCATAAGGTCGCGTGTAATCCTGTAACTTTTTCCGTCGAAAAACAGTATGACATGATTTGTCACCGCTCATCGCGATTTTGGACTGTGTGTGTTTAGGCTGGTCTTGTGCGAAATATATAAGAAATAAAAGAAAAACAATGTCATTTTTGAAAAATCAAGAGCTTCCTCAATCCAGCAATACCAAATATGGCATGGTTTGCTGACGTAGCACGCCTGGGAGATACCATTAACAGAGGAGGAGGGAAGCAAGGACGTCGGCATCCTTGCAGAGTTAGTGAGGTTAAGAAAGTCTTTAAAAACACCAGAGGCATTTTGTTCTTAACATGTAACAGAATCTTTGGTCCTTACAGAGACTAAACCCCTAAACAGGAGGACTGAATGGGTTCAGGACTTGGAATGTACTTTTGAAGACAGTAAAAGTGAATCAATATGTGAGGAAGCACTATCCTTCTCATAAAACAGCCACCGTAAGCTTTTAGAGTTCAACATTATCCACAGAACCTACTTGACACCAGAAAGACTCCATAGGATCAATGAATCCATGTTATCTTTGCCCACAATATGAGACAGGTAACTTGATTCACATGTTCTGGAGATGTCATAAATTAAGACTTAATGGGGATCAATATTGGAGAATCATTGGAATAAATGTATTCATTGCTGTGTGATGGAACAATGCAGATCCTCCCCCTATCTCCATGTGGCTTTAAGAAATGTCCTCTTAGATGACATCAGAAAAAAAATATTCTCACTCACAAAACAAAACCACATCTCTCTGATAAATGCTGGTCTGGATTTGGGAGCAACATGGGAAATACTTTACAGTCTGTTGTAGGTTGATGACGAGATATGTTTGACTTATGCACACATGCATCTGTGTAGACATGTGGAGTTGAATCTCCATGTACTAATGTGGGTTAACTTTGTGTTTATTTCACAAAATGTTCCCCTCTTCCCTCGTTTCTTCTTTTTCTCTTCCCCTCTGACTCTATTGTTTTTGTTATGGAAGGGGTTTCTCAAAACTGCTTTATTTGAGAAAAAAAATCAATTAATAAACTATAAAAAAAGAAACAAGCTTTTTGTGACTGCATATTAAATTTATACAATAAAAATGAAAATATGAACAAAAGGGAATTTACAACTTTATGGAATTAAGTTATGTTTGTACATAAACTTGATTCAATTGTTAATTAAACTTAGCAGATCCACAATAGTAACAGAGAATCAGTAAACTGACCTTAGAGTCTCCAGTCTGCAGTGTGGACTCTTCAAAAAATCACACAGCAGCTTCACTCCTGAATCCTGCAGGTTATTGTGACTCAGGTCTAGGTCTGTCAGATGTGAGGGGTTGGACTTCAGTGCCGACGCCAAAGAAATACAGCTGATCTCTGACAAACTGCAATTCATCAATCTGAATACAGAATAAATAATGTTACTTAAGAAGACAACGTTCCTGCTTGAAATCTTTCAATGTTTTATCATTTCAGTCAATTGCAGAGATCAGAGCTTAAAGCCCCTACAAGGAACTTTCATTTTGAGTTGATTTTGGCGACCCTGTGGACAAAAGTGGTAGTGTTTTGCCGGAATGAAGCCTACATTTCCCATGAGCTCTAGCTCGTATTGTCGTTAAGACGCTTACCTGGCTCTCTCATGTGTTTGTTTTGGGGATGAATGAAACAACAAGACGGGAAAACTTTGCCCCCGCTCCTATTGGGGATCCCAGCTCACCTCTGCCGTGCCCTGGCTCCACCTCTCCGGCGTAAGTGCCACTGCTGCCGGGGTAAACGCAGCAGTCGGCTTGTAAGGCTGAAGGCCTATTTGGCGAGCACTTCCACGGCTTCTTGGACTGAGTATGGAGCGGTGCCTCGCCTCTTTATTTCTCAGCACTCGCTGGACCCTGTCGACGCCTGGCTGGTACCTGTTGTCGGCCCAGATGAGGTGTTCCAGCCCCGCGGCCCCTGCTCTCCTCGTCCCTGCTGGCACGGGGTGAATCTGCGCAACCTGCGGCCTCTGTGTGTGGCTCCCCGGACAGCTAATGCCATGGACCCGCCGGCTCCTGCCAGGATTGGGCTGGTAAATGCTAGATCGCTAACGAACAAAACGTTTATCCTGAAGGATTTCCTGACTTCCCAAGGATTGGATTTTCTCTGTGTGACTGATGGCTGACTGTTGGTGAATCCAGTGCTTTCACAGAACTTTTACCCAATGATTGCTGCTATTTTAACTCCCTGCGGACGTCGGGTCGAGGAGGAGGAATAGCGACTATTTATAAGAGTCACTATAAATGTAAGCAGCTAGGTAAGATGACGTGTGCCGTCTGAGTGCCGTAAATCGTTTCGTCCTGGAAGCGACCTGGGGCGGACCTGGAGACAGTTTCCTAAAGGTATGGATATACACTATATAGAAATAGCTTATCTTCACACCGATGGTCTCATTTACTGTTGTAGGTCACACACACACATCAGCAAAAACGAGAGACTTTTGCATATCCAGTTAAAAGTTCCTTGTAGCAGCTTTAAGGTTTAGAATGTAGAAGTTTAGAAAATGGAAACTCCTAACAGCTAACCTCAACAAGATACAGGTAAAAAAAAAAAACAAAACTGTAAAATCTGGGGCACCCAGTAGCTCAGTGGGTAAAGCAGGGGTCCCATGTACAAGGGCAATGTCCTTGCCACAGCAGTCACAGGTTTAATTCCAGCTTGCGGCCCTTTGTGCTACCCGATGAAGGCCAAAGCCAAATAAAAATCTTAAAACAAATATTGTTAAATCTGTAGCTCAACATTGCTCTGCTGCATTGACATAAATAAGAGGTGTTTATCAAATATAATAAATTTACAATAATTACACACTATAAGATGTGATTTGATTTTGTGAAATGTGGGATTTTGACAGGTTAAACAGGATCAACTCATTTAAAGGCCAGTTTATTATGATACATGAAGTAAGTTACAGTTGTCACTAACATCCTGATGTTTCAGATGTGAGTATTCAAATTGAGAAAATATGGCTATCCTCACTTGGAGACTAATTATGAAAACCAACTCTTTGGGGGAAACATCTATAATCAGCACCCTATAGGCCTACCACCTACAGGGATAGGCATCAGGACCAGGTGCATTGTGTGACAGGTGGTAGTTAGGGGTGGGGACTCAGGCATTCATAAGAGTCCTTGGTACCAGAACACCCTAGGCCAAAGACTGATGATCACCTTTGAGGTCATATCATCAGATCTGTGACTGTATGTCTAGGACACTCTAGTGAAGAGAGAAGCAGAACTGTCAATTGATCACCACCTGGTGGTGAGTTGGTTCAGATAGCAGGGGAGTCTGCTGGACAGACCTGGTAAGCCCAAGCATGTAGTGAGGGTGAACTTGGAATGCTGAGCCCCCAGTCAACAAGGTCTTCAACTCCCACAGCTGGAAAAAGTCTTTGTGCATCCTGGGGGAGGTTGGGGACATAGAATCTGAGTAAGCCATGTTCAAAGCCTCCATTGTGGAGGAGGGTGTTAAAAGTTGTGGTCAGACAGCTATCGGTGCCTGTCTTGGCAGCACCATATGAACCCATTGGTGGACACCAGCAGCGAAGGACGCCGTCAGGCTTAAGAAGGAGGCCTTTCAGGCTTGGTTGGGCCAGAGGTCTCCTGAAGCAGCAGACTGGTACCAGTAGGCCTGAAGGTCTGCAGCTGTGGCAGTCACCAAAGCAAAAGCCCAGGTGTGGGAGGAGCTCAGAGAGGCTTTGGAGGAAGACTTTCTGTCCTTGTATAACCAGTGCGAAAGCTGTGTCTGCATACTTGGCAAAAAGTCAAACACATTTCCAGTGGGTATTGGCCTCCGCCAGGGTTGTCTCTAGTCACCGATTTCGTTTGTGATATTCATGGACAGGATCTCAAGGTACAGCTGGGGGAAGGTGGTTTGGCATCCCATCTGCAGTGATGTGGGCGCTGCACAGGATAGATATGGTGAAGAGGGAGCTGAGCCAAAAGGCAAAGCTCTCAATTTACTGGTTCATCTGTGTCCTAACCCACACCTATGATCATGAACTTTGGGTAGTGACCAAAAGAATAGGATCGCAGATGCAAGTGGCTGAAATGAGTTTCCTCCATAAGGTGGCTGGGCTCAGCCTTAGAGATGGGTGTGGAGGTCAGACATCCGAGGGGAGCAGCTGCTCCTTTGCGTCAAAAGGGACCATTGAGGTGATTCAATGGCTGATCAGGATGCCATCTGGGCGCCTCACGTTAGAGGTTATCCGGGCATGTGAAACTGGTAGGAGGCCTTAGAGCAGACCCAGAAGGTGCTGAATGGGATTATATATCATATCTGGCCTGCAAATGCCTCTGGATGCCACTAGAGGAGCTGGAAAGTGTTGCTGGGGAGTGTGTTGCTCAGCCTGCCTCCCCCCCTCAACCTGGCCCCGGATAAGATGATTCCAATGGATAGATGGATGGATGGATGGATGGATAATTTCATCATATCACTACATTCATATTCAAATCAATCGAAGACTCAGAGAAGTCATGTCAGATGTTGGTGATGTCATTTGTTGTGCAGATTGTAAAAATATCTGAGACTTGTTTGTGATTCAGGACTATAAAAATGATAAAAACTTACTTACTACCATTCCAATCTCACTTTTAATGTTATCAGTTCTGATTTTAACTCATAAATATAAGCCTTATGTCTGCAGTTTAGTGTCACTACAACTTTCACATACCTCAGCACAAAGGTAAAAAATAGTGTCTGACCTCAGAGTCTCCAGTCTACAGTGTGGACTCTCCAGAAAATCACGCAGCAGCATCATTCCTGAATCCTGCAAGTAGTAGTTTTCTCTCAGGTCCAGCTCTGTCATATGGGAGGGGTTGGACTTCAGAGCTGATGCCAGAGAAACACAGCTGATCTCTGACAAACTGCAGTGACTCAATCTAAATAAAGAAATAAATGATATCCATTAATCAGATGTTTTTGAAAGAGGGCTCCACATTTGTTCAGTGTGTCTTAAAACAACAGCCACGTCATATGTACATTAACAGAGTTATTGGCGGCAGTAATCATTCCTCCTGTCCACACTGAGTGTGAAGTGGTGTCTTCATAACACAACTGCACGGTAAAAAAAAATGACTCCATTAGATCAGCTGGAACTAATATGGAGCAGTCTGAGTGAGACAGATCAAGTGGGTGTCCACCAGAGTTACAGACTATTAAGGACCAAATACCCTCTTTGAGTTACTATTCCTCCACTGCAGCTCAACAAGGAAACACGGTCAAACACAACATACACACTTGATATGTGTAACTCAGACTGCTGAAGCGTCAGATTAGTTTTACACCATCTTTATGAGTCAATTTTACACAGAACAAGACTTTGGATTTTGTCCTCCATCTGGTAACATTGGAGTTAGGTTATAAGGGGATTGTTTCACAGACAGTACAGACAGAAGGAATGATTACAGACAGATTACAGACATTAAGAACTCTTTCAATGTACATATGGACACCTGAGCATTGGACTGAGAGGCCTGAAAAAATATGAAACTTTCCTTTAAGACAAATATGTTTCTGAAGCAGAATATTCATTTGGTCTTTGTTTCAGTCTACAGGTCTGTGACTTCAAATAATCAGACAATGATGACATGTAAACAGAGCAACAGTTAGATCTGCTGGCCTTGAATATCTAATCTGATGATGTCATTCATAATCATCACTTCAGTGACTTTAAGTTGGTGCAGAACTTGTTTGTTTTAGAGTGCTGCACCTTTTGCCCTGTTCAGATGAGCAGCAGAACCAGAGAACCAGCTTCTAAAACTTTACTAAACTTTATGATCAAAAGATCTCTGCAAAAACTCCATGTTTCACTCCTCAAAGATGAAAGTTATTTAATTCCTAAATAGAGTTTGATTTGTTAAAGAACAGAAACTTTAAAAACTATATACAGTCTGTTGTTGCTCCCATTCACAAACCCTAGTCTCATCTGACATCTTTTTGCAGTCATTACATCAGAGAGTCCTTTTTCTTCTGCAGTAACTAACTAAAATCCCCAAACAGACCTTGAATGGCTGCCTGTGTCCAGGCCTTTGAATTTGCTCACTCCACTGAGATCAAGTTGACTGACTCTGGTCTGGCATCATACCATGAAACAGCAGTTTCTCGGTTCAAATAAAAAACAATAAATCAGCACAGCAGGGGGGATTTACCATTAACTAGTTAGCGCTATGGGAGGGACTAAAGCCGTTGTCAAGCTGTTTTCCAGCGCTGTCAAGCTGTGTGCCACAACCTGTTCCACGCATGGTTAAAGGTCTGCTGTTATTTTGCAGTGAGACTTTTCATCTCTTTTAATACCATATAGTCAGGCATTTGGAAAGACTGAACATTTCTGAAAAAAGCTGTCTTCAGAATTGTGTTCAGGCTAATCCCCAAAATATATGAACCAAAAATATGAAACCTCAGTGAAGGATTAGAGTTGAATAAATACAAAGAACAGCAAAAACTACAGCCAGTGAACCAACCTCAGAGTCTCCAGCCTACAGTGTGGACTCTCCAGTCCAGCAGAAAGTAGCTTCACTTCTGGATCATACAGCTTGTTGTAACTCAGGTCCAGCTCTGTCAGATGGGAGGGGCTGGACTTCAGAGCTGAGGCCACGACTTCACAGTGAGTTTCTGAGAGTCGGTAGCCAGAAAGTCTGTCATAACACATTGATTACAGAATATGTTATTATGAAAGAGGACACTTTATATTGACTTCATGTATTTGATGATGAAACAGTTTGACAGATTCTATTTAGATGAACATTTGCTCTTCACATCAGTGAGTTAGCTGATCTTATCTCACTGTGTTTGACAGGAAACAATAATTCTCATCACTTGATCTCAATCCCACAGACTTTAATCTGTGTTTTGCTTTAATCTTGCAGATGAAGGCAGAGATAATGGAGTTACATCGAGGCTTCCATAACATTTGCCAGTGTGATCTGATCCCATGTATGTCTTCACAAAGTTAGCATGATGAAATCTTAATTAGAAAACCATTTTTACAACTCAGTGAACAATTACAGTTAGGATGATGAGATTTCTTTATAAGCTACCTGCTACTGGCTAATGCTAATGTTAAACTTTATATAGATGTTGTTGTGTAACTGACATTACAGATCAGTTCACTGATCTGATGACTTTTTCCACTTCGTTACCAAATTACTGTTGTAACATTCAACATTATCACATACCTGTCACTTGTGACCACAGTGGCTGATTCAATAACACATCCTATTTACATAACAGTAATATTAATAATGATTTTTCTATAAAAAACTTTTCAAAAACAAGTTCACAGTTCTTTCAAGACATAAAATAGACTATATACAGAGCAGATACAAAATGGAATACAGTTCAAAACAGAAGTAAATTTAAATTAGTTTGTAATAATAAATAAAAAGAACATAAATAATTAAAACTGTTTAAAAGCCAATTCATAAAAACTAGTCTCAGGTATTGATGTGCTGTGATATCCCCTAACATCCTCCATGGCCATTATAAAATTGCTCTGAAACCATCATGACACCCCAGCCAGGGTGGGGGGTTCGAACCCAGGGTGGGGGAGCCCTTTCTGTGCAGAGTTTGCATGTTCTCCCTTTGTCAGTGTGGGTTTTCTCCAGGTACTCGGTTTCCTCCCACAATCCAAAAAAATGCAGGTTAGGTTAACTGGTGACTCTAAATTGGCCATAGGTGTGAATGTGAGCGTGAATGGGGTTGTCTGTCTCTATATGTTAGCCCTGCAATAGTCTGGCGACCTGTCCAGGGTGTACCCCGCCTCTTGCCCAATGTCAGCTGGGATAGGGTCCAGCCCTGCGACCTCCAACAGGATAAGCCGTTACGGAAAATGAATGAATGAATAAATGAATGAATTTTCTAGACTTTAAGAAATGTCCTCTGAAGAATGATACAGATCCTAATTTAAACTGTGGAGTGAAATAATCAGGTATGCCCTGGATGTGTGATAATGAGACACCCTGCAGAATCTACTGAGTTAATAATAACTTTGCTGCATTCACTGGTTACTGTAAAAATACTGTTGTATGTTGGGATAAAACACTGTTGTGATAAAACCTCAAACATGACCTCTAAACACCTTCATTAGTTTAATCAGGTTAAGATTCTCCCAAAGGAGAAATGTGGAAAAAAACTGACAAAAGTAACAACTATTAGTAAGAAGTAAATAGAATAAATGTTCATTTACTTGACAGCCAGAAACACAACTAACTGAAACATCAACATTTGAAACAGCTCATCATCAACATCTGTTAAGAACTGAATCCCTAATGTACACTGATTTATAATGTTAATCACATCTGGACTTACCGAGCCTTTCTGCAGTTCCTCACAGCTGGAATCAGTCTCAGTCGTCCCTCCTCTGTTGTGTTGTATTTTTTCAGGTCCAACTCATCCAGAACCTCCTCTGACATCTGCAGCATGTAGGCCAGTGCTGAGCAGTGGATCTCAGAGAGTTTCTTCTCTGATCTGTTCTCTGACTTTAGGAACTCTTGGATCTCCTGATGAACTGAGTGGTCGTTCATCTCCACCAGACAGTGGAAGATATTAATGTTTCTGTCAGGAGAGATCTCATCACTGCTCATCTCCTTCAAGTTTTTTATGTCTCTCTGGGTGATTTCTGTACAGTTGTCAGTCTGACCCAACAGACCTCCTAACAGTCTCTGGTTGGACTCCAGAGAGAGACCATGAAGGAAGCGAACAAACAGGTCCAGGTGACCATTTTTGCTCTTCAGGGATTTCTCCATGACCCTCCTCAGGAACTCACCTAGGTCTCTGTCAGCATCATCACCAACCATCTCCCTAAATGCATTTTCCTCCCCCTCTTCATTATAATTATCATCATCCATCTCCCCAACAACATCTTCCTCCCCCTCTACATTATAATTATCATCATCCATCTCCCAAAAATCATCTTCCCTCACATCTTCATTATCATCATCATCGTTTTCACAGTAATTTTCATCGCTATCATCCTCATCATTCAGGAAGTCCTCCAGTACCTCTGTCTTCCTGTTGGTGTAACAGTGGAACATGTAGACTGCAGCCAGAAACTCCTGAACGCTCAGATGAACAAAGCAGTAGACTGATTTCTGGAAGATCACACTCTCTCTTTTGAAGATCTCTGTACAAACTCCTGAGTACACCAAGGCCTCTGTGACATCAAGACCACACTGCTCCAGGTCTTCCTGGTAGAACATGATGTTTCCTTTCTCCAGATGTTCAAACGCCAGCCTCCCCAGCTTCAGGAGAATGTCCCTGTCTGCCTCTGTCAGCTCCTGTGGACACGTCTCATGTCCCTCATCATACTTCTGCTTCTTCCTCTTTGTCTGAACCAGCAGGAAGTGTGAGTACAGTTCAGTCAGGGTCTTGGGCAGCTCTCCTCTTTGCTCTGTGGTCAACATGTGATCCAGAACTGTAGCAGTGATCCAGCAGAAGACTGGGATTAGACACATGGTATGGAGGCTCCTGGAAGTCTTGATGTGTGAGATGATTCTGCTGGAGAGCTCTTCATCACTGACTCTCCTCCTGAAGTACTCCTCCTTCTGGGCATCAGTGAAGCCTCTTACTTCTGTTACCCTGTCAACACATGCAGGAGGGATCTGATTGGCCGCTGCAGGTCGGGAAGTTATCCAGACAAGAGCCAATGGAAGCAGATTCCCCTTGATGAGGTTTGTCAACAGCACATTGACTGATGACTCCTGTGTGACATCAGACACAACCTCATTGTTGTGGAAATCCAATGAAAGTCTGCTTTCATCCAGGCCGTCAAAGATGAACAGAACTTTACAGACAGCGAGGTCCTCTGCCTTGACTTTCTGTAATGTTGGATGGAAATCATGGAGCAGCTTGAGAAGACTGTACTGCTCATCTTTGATCAAGTTCAGCTCCCTGAACGAAAGCAGAATCACCAGACTGACATCTTGGTTTTCCAAACCCTCTGCCCAGTCCAGAGTGAACTTCAGCACTGTGATGGTTTTTCCAATTCCAGCGACACCTTTTTTCAGAATGACTCTGATGTGTTCCTGTTGATCGGGAAAGGCTTTAAAGATGTCGTGGCATTTGATTGGAGTGTCATGAAGGGTCTTCATCTTGGAAACTGTCTCCAGCTGCCTCACCTCATGTTGGGTATTAACCTCTTCACTCTGTCCCTCTGTGATGTAGAGCTCAGTGTAGATCCTGTTGAGGAGGGTTCCACTTCCTGTTTCATCAGTTCCTTCAGTCACACATTCACATCTCCTCTTCAGAACGATCTTATGTTCATCTAAAACCTCCTGCAGACCAGCATCCACTGTAAAACAACAAGGCTTCATTAAATATAGTGTTGGTTATATAATAATAAAAAAGGAATTAGAATGGAGGCCTTAGATTTTTTTAAATGTATCTACTGTTGCAACACAAAAAGACTTTCTTTTTCAGACATCAGCAGACAGATGTGCAGTCTCACTTTGTACAGTGCTGATCTGACAGGTCATTTGCAGTCCAGCTCTTGTTCTGAATCTTTTTCCACACTGAGGACAGGAGGAGTCTCCTGATGAAGCAGACTGGTCCCAGTATGAGGTGATGCACTGTCCGCAGAACCAGTGTCCGCAGCTGGTAGAGAGAGGATCCTTGAGGACGTCCTGACACAAAGCACAGCAGGACAGTTGCTCCACAAAAACATTACTCCTCTTCTTCTTTCCTCTGTGGATGTAAACACATTCTTTATAACACATCACATTAGTGGTGACCAACCCACAGCTCATAAGATGTATGCAACTCTTCCCCTACATATTTATGTCTCTTCTTTTCACATCCTGATGTTTCTAAATTCACTTTCAAATCAAATTTTATTTACATCATAAATGTAAACCATTGTCTGAATGTGAGAGATGATCTCTTAAATTAATAGAACAAAACCATACACTTCATGAAGGTCAAATCACGAACCTCTACCCCGTAACTAAAAGGTTGTTGATGTGGTGTTTGCAAAGCTCACAGCTCATGAACAGAGTTCATGAACATGACACAGCAAAAGTACCAGCTGTCCAGAAAGCTGAATTTAGACCCAGTCCTGACACCTGTGCTAGAAACTATGCTTTAATTATAAAGCTCAGTGCATAGCCTAACTTTGGTCTAAATAGAAATAAATAACATCCAAATGTATCTGACCAGAACATTTTTTTGTTGTTTTTTTGCTAATGTAAGTCGAGGACAAGTGTTACAGAAACATTTAAGTGAATGGGCATAACCATTGGATGTTTTAATGTCACTACTTTTACGACTATCTATTACTACAAACCCTAATATGTTAAGCATACAGTAGAAACAGCGTCTTACTTTTTGTCTGAGGGTCCAGGTTTATTACTGGAGACTGGAGGACAACCTTTGGACTGGTCACGTTTCATAGACAGAGAGCTGAAAACTGCAGACTCTGTTCTGTCCTCCTCTTTCTCCACATCACTCATCTTCACCTGTCTGAGAGGTAAAGGAACAGTAGGCACACACAGTTTAATCAAACCCAGTCAGTACTCCACTTCTTTCATTAGACATTTCTGTAACACCATCATAAATAAATGGTAACGTTGAGTTGCACTGTAACCTTGGTTCTCCATGTGAGGAGATTATCTCCCCACTTAGTAGATATATCATTACTGTGGGAATTATCCCCATCTGGGGTAATCGACATGGAAAATTAATAATCTTTAAGACACATCACTTTACATGGCCCACATGTGCCAGGCAATAAAAGCCCCATCATGCCCATGCACCCACTGATTAACATTGATTGGAATGGGTATCGAGTGGCCTTGAGTTTGGGGAGATAATCTCCTCACTCAGAGAACCAAGGTTACAATGTAACTTAACCTTCTCTATCGTATCGAGATTATTTCCCCACCCAGTAGTTATATCATAACTATGGGAGCCCTTTGTGACACACCCAGGGGCCCCAGGAGACAGAGCAGATGCAGGTCCACAGTACTCAAATGAGACGTCCCCGCCACCAGGTGCATTAACAACAGAAAATACCCGATAAGTGTGTATATGTACATGAAAAAACACCAATGACCCATATACAAATGTACAACATCTTGCACATTCAACAGTAAGTGACACCTCCAGACGCTGTGTGCCACTGAACCACTGCCCAGGCGTCAGACGTAACCATAAGCATGACCAACCCTGCCAGATGCTGGGGTTGGGTGCAGGAAGACTGCTCACTTGGCCAGCCTGCTGCCAGGCCACTGACAATAATATACGACATTACCCTGGCTGGGTAAGGCGCCCCCCTAGCTCAGGGGCATGGAATTATATGGCCTACTGTGAGGTGGCACCCAGCACATGCTCCCCAAAGGAGGTACCAGCAGCCACATTCAGGCAGTAAAATCTGGCAAATGTGGATGGACTTGACCATGTAGCAGCTGCACAGACCTCTGAGAGGGTGGGACCGTGCCACAAGGCCTGCACCATGCCAGCACCTCTGTAAGTCTGCTGAATTGTCTCCACGACCCAACGAGACAGCCTAGCCTTTGACACCGGCTGGCCCTGGCACTGGGCCTTAAAGCAGACAAAGAGTTGTTTCTGTCTTTCTAAATGCTGCAGTGCGCCGGACATAGACCTTTAAGGCTCTAACAGGACAGAGATTTGAGTCTTCTCGACCTTCACCACCCTCTTTGGGGGGTTGTAGGGCCGCAACTCCACCAACTGATTCAAATGAAAGTCTGTGATTTCTTTTGACAGGAATGCAGGCGTACAGTTCCCCCACTCTTTTGGGTGATGTCACTGCCAAGAGAAAAAATACTTTAAGAGACAGCCACTTAATGCTGCCTGATTCCACAGGCTCAAAACCCCCTAAACCCTAATGCGCATTGTCCCTGGTTGCGAACAGGTTGGTCACTGCTCTGCCAAAACGGTGCCAGATCTCCCCAACCACCTCCGGTCCCCTGGACTTGGGCCTCCCCTGGAGAGTAGGTCCGCCCCCTGGTTTGTGCATAGCCCTGGGAGGCAGGAACCATGTCAATGCCCAGGTCCACAGCCTGTGTGCTATAGAGTGTGCCAGAGCTGACGTCAAAACCCGGAAGTTTAGCATCGCGCTGGTTCCCGGAAGAGAAAGTGAATGTGATTTTTGCATTGCAATTTGGATTATGTCAGAAAATAAGCTCTGTGGCTAACACAAGTTTATGATACTTACAGGTTTTGTTCAGCGACATAATCTTCACATATGAACACCTTTCATACCGCATTTGAAGCTTAAATGCGATCGCCAGAAGTAAAAAGCTAACGTTAGGCTTTAATAGACTACATGACTACTCCACGGTCGCACAACTCTTTATGTCACCGCCACTAAGCTTTCAACTGATTTCAGCCGCTTTATTTTAAAAAACATTGTATAATGGGGAAATCGGACTGTACACCCGCAAACGTACAAACAGCCCACAAACGTAATAAACCACAAACATAATACAAATCTGCAGCTTTGAATGTAATAATCCCTCAAATGTAATAAATTTCCCACAAACGTAATAGCAGCTGCCTACTACAAACGTAACACACAATTTTCCGCAAATGTAATAACTATTACATTTGCAGGAAATTATTACATATGTGGGAAGGTGAAAATCTAAACTGAAATAACTTCCCACAAATGTAATATGAGACTGAATAATGATCTTTGTTGTTGTTGTTGTTTGTTTGTTTACTTATACACCTGCCAATAGTGATGCGTGTGTTGACAAGCAACCCGCAGGTCGGGTGGGGCGGGTCAGAAAGTGACAGAGCAGCGTTCTGAGTAAGTCAGAAATAACTTACAGAAACACACACATATACACACACACACACTGGTCATTCCTTGTCAGTTCACAGAATTACTCTGAGGCAGCAAATATGTCATTTAATTGGATTTATTTTATTTTATTCTGCCTCTTGTTAATACGGATTTCTCTGCAGCATCTGGCCTACAGTACCTGTTCAGCACCTCGGACAGCGGCGCTGCGGGATGGCTTGGCTCTCATAGGGGGTCAGGTGCAGGTTGTAAGGTTTGAAAAACCATGGTTTACAATAACTTAATCCTCCTCCACTCAAAAATGTGTTTTCTTCTTGTTCCTACAGATGAATGTTTGAGCCTCACTGTGCAGAATGATGTATGTGCAGAGCTTGACACTCAAAGGCAGTTTTCACATTTATCTGCTGAAAATGCTCATATGATTTTAAGGGCTAGGGCTACGAGCCTATGTTGGTGGCTTATGTAGCCTATGTTTGAACCATTTAATTAAAATATGTCTGCATATCAAAAGCCAAAAACTTAAATATGTCGTTCATTCTTTGAAGTAATGAAAACATTTTTCAAGATTTAAGACTGGTCCGTGTACTTTTTGATAGTAACATGGACCAAGACTGTCTGAACAATGACAATTAAAGGCTTGCAAATAATTAATGACTGGTGAACTTAAATTAATGTAGCCTATGTGAATGCAGGAAAGTGAGAATTGCCATGTAGGTAACTGAAAATTTCCCAGACAAAATGACAATGTAATACAGACTGTTTAAGCTTAATAAGAAGCTGTAATGGCGGACTGCCAGCACTCTCGCCTGTACGGGGGTGATGACATTTAATGTCCCTGACAGGGTTTGTAGTCGTATTGAGCAACTTGTTAGCAACCGCCTTTTTTACGACACGTAAAAGCTTCAAAATTCACAAGTAGGGTATTTACTGACATGTTTTATGTCGTAGAACATTCGTTGAGAGCCAGGCCAGCACTGCGTGACTGAGGAGCCGAAGGAGAGGAGCAAGAGGCGCTTCGCTACTACCCTGGCAAATTTGAAACAAAGTCCCACTCTTTGAGCATAATGCAGGATCATGCATGTGCAGCATCATGGGAGACGGAATCCTTGTCGCCAAGAAAGCGCAAAAGGGAATAGAAAAGGCAGCGTGACCGACGAATTAAAAAAACGAAGGCCCACATTGGGGTAGACTTTCCCAGGTAGAGAGAGCTGCTGAGGGAGAATGGTAATGCAATCACAGGCCAGCGCCACTGTTGGCTGTTAGCCGCTGTTAGCGGCCAGTCGCTAACAGCCTCATCCCTCTCCTCGCATCACTGCGCTGCTGTTAGCTGTTAGCCGCTAGCCGCTGTTAGCGCTGGCCTGTGATTGTATTACCTTTCTCCTTCATCAGCTCTCTCCACCTGGGAAAGGCAACCCCAATGCTGACCCTTGTTTTTTTAATTCGCCGGTCACGCTGCCTTTTTGATTCCCTTTTGCACTTTCTTGGCGACGAGGATTCCGTCTCCCGTGATGCTGCATAATACATGATCCTGCATTATGCTCAAAGAGTGGGACTTTGTTATGCGGCAGTAGTGCCGCTGGCCACTAACAGCTGTTAGCGGCGCAGTAATGCAAGGAGAGGGATGAGGTGTGTGAGGTTGAGCCACTTGTCAGTTGTCAAAGGACAAGACGTGATTGGTTTGTTTCAATTTACATCCGCCCCAACAGTCCTACGTTGTAAACACAGCCAGCATGGTGAGGAGGGGGTTTGTCAACTCGCGTCGCGTGTGTCTGTGTAGGAGCCTGAATGAATACTCCATGTAGTATCGGATGACATGGTTTCATCAGTGTTATCATAGCTTTTTGGTGCACAGCGGCTACAGTTGTTGCAATACGTGTTTGAAACAGTGAGGCGCTAGAGTGCGCCATCTGTTTGAATGCAATATATGATTTCAACGTTAGATGGGAGAAATTCCTACACACTGTGGCTTTAAGCTTTTGTTAAACACAGACCTTATTTGAGGCATTTTACCAAAATCCCATTCAAAAAACGTATTGACTTTTAGAAAAGAGAACCGCAAGTGCTAAAAGCGCTAACGGAGTTCCAGGTTTACTGGCACACTCTATTCTGCAGTGGTTTGGAGAGCCTAGGCCCCCTTGCCTGTTGACATATGCTGCTGCCACTGTGCTGTCGCTTCTTACTAGCATGTGGTGGCCTTGCAGACTCAAGAGAAAATGCTGGAGGGCCAGGTGAATGGTTCTGAGTTCTAGAGCATTGATATGCTGGCCCTTCCAGTAGGAAGCCTCCACAGTTGCGAACTGCTACACCTCGCAATGGCTAACTGTGGAGATAACCCTCCCCACACTTGCACACTCACCCCCCTTCCTGACAGCTAGTCAGGGCAACAGATTGGACTCTATGCACTACCAGCACTTTATTTGTGACTGTATGAGTACGTTGTGTGATTTTAAATTCTACTATCTTGTTCTAATTTTTTTTTATTTTATTTTTTTATATTTATTACTGACTTTTAATGCACTGGTTGCACTGATGGAGAAACAGTACTTAGTTTTTTCTGTGTCTAGTACTCAGTGAAAATGACAATAAAGCGAATCTTGAATCTTGAATCTTGAATCTCGCCACCCCCCCCGACTCTGTCGGGTTCAAGCAGGCAACTAAACCCCCGAGGAATGTCACAAACTGCCCCCCGATCCGGTCGAGTTTGAGCCAGCAACAACCTCCTAGTCGTTGGTGGTGTGTCTTAAAGATTATTAATTCCCATGTCAATTACCCCAGATGGGGATAAATCCCTTAGTTATGATATAACTACTGGGTGGGGAGATAACATCGGTACAATAGAAAACATGATGATTTAACTTTAGTTAATAGTTGTTTACTGTTAACAAATAGAGAAATTAAAATCAATACTATTTGAATTATTAATAATTCTATAGGTTGGTATTTTAACTGTTCACTATTGTACAGATTTTAACATTTTATGTACTATATTAAGAAGTAAGTTAGTATATTAAGTGTTTTCTCAATTTAATAATGTGTGAAGTGCCTCTATACACATTATTTGAGTGGCCATTATAAAGTTCAGTGTTTATAGATGCACTACACAGTAGGCTTGTGCCGGTTTGAAAAGTTTTCTGTATTGGTTCATATGATTTTCCCCCAGTCTTTCCCTTTTAACTGTCTGTCAAGCTCAACATTGAACTTTGACCTGATTGTATTTGTGTTTCAGTATTACCCTGTAGTATTTGATACATTTTGGGCAGAGTATTCTTGGTGTTCATATAATTTTTATCATAAATCTTGTTAAGGGGTGCTGCTTTTGATTGCCTTACCTGTTTAGAAAACTGTTGATATAGCTTCTAAAATTGAGTGTACTAGATTAAATTTATTTGATATAACTTTAAAGGAATTAGCATAGTTGTGAATTAGTATTTCTGAATATATTTGCTGTCCTTTTAACACATTGTCCATTTTGTTTGGTTTAAACTGGGGGTTTCATGTCATTTCCCTGAGATGAAGTACTTTGCTATTTATCTGATGTTTATGACAGATTTGTATCCAGTTAAATACAGAGTATTATTAATCCATATGTTCCACCCTTTCTTACCTATAAAGGGTAAAGTCTTTATTGAAAGTGGAGCCAGCTCTTTTTCTATCATGCACCACTGATTTTTTGTTAACATTAGTCCATTTCATTATGATACTTGTTTGTGTAGCATAAAAATAATTCTGTAAGTCTAGTAGTGTAATCCACCATATTCTTTAGATTTATTCATGTATGAAGTTTGACCCTTTCCCTTTTATCATTCCAGTAAACTAGTAAACTTTAAAGGTGCTATATAAATAAGGTTATTGTTATTACAGTTATTATTTTTCATTTCCTGTCACTCGGCGTGGAGGGGAGAACTCATATTTATGCAATCATTTGTAACATTTAATATACCAAACAATAACGACTCTGTATTACACATCTTATTTTACATTTATCTTGTTGATTATGTGACATCACCAAAGAAGTCCTGGATGAGTTTCCCTACACATAACTGTACAGGACGTGACCTCAGATGACACTGACAAAGACAAATCCCTCAGATTTGAACCTTGATTAAAACTTTGTGACTACATGTCTTCCGTGGATTAAAACAAAGCCATGAATCATATACTCGCTGTGTGCTGATGCTGGAGGCTCCTCTCCTCAGACCCCTCCTCTCCCCTCCACACCAAAACAATGACACAAAGTGGAAAATGAAAATAACTGTCACTGAGATAAAACTGACTGGAAGAAAAACAAATCTTAAGATTTTCACCGAAAAACACATCAGGGTGCAAAAAATATCAAAACAGAGGCAGATCATTTCTTTTTTCAGTGCAGGTCTTGTTTTCAGTGTCTATATGTAAAATGATTCTTTGGAAATGTCCTTAAATAGCTGGATATCTGCTCTCTCTCAGGAGTTTGTACAACCCCGATTCCAAAAAAAGCTGGGACGCTGTAAAACCTACTTAAAAACAGGGTTCAATGATTTGTAATAATTTTCAACATACAACAGGGGAAAATTTCATTAAACAAATTTCCAATGTTAAAATCAAATTTCGACAAGACATTGGTATTAACTCAATAAACCTACTCTGATAAAGAAATCCAAACATTTGACTCCATAAAACCAATGGGCCATAAAGTGGAACAACACAGAAAAAAAGTTCAGAACAGGCTGATTGAAATTTATTGAATACATGGAGTAGCCTTTGTTTGCAGCTTCAAGACACTTCCTGTATGATGAAACTGATCTCTCTCAGTGTTCATTCTTCCATACAGACAGTGTGGAAATCCTCAAGATGTGGGGGAATTTCACTTTCAAAACTTCTTCTTCATGTTGAGACAAGAACAACAGCCAGAGGCAAAAAAAGGCTTGATTAAAAATGTCAACATGAGAACAGAGTTCAGAACACACTGCAGGAATGAGGAAACAGAAAATGTGCAGAGACTCGGCAGTATGTGGAAACTTTTGAATCCTCTGAGGTTTCAGTTTCCTGCTCAACAAACTGTGTGTCCAAAGAGGATTAGTTCGGTGTGTGTTTCTTTAGTAACTGGGTGAATATCTAGACTAAATTCATTTTTATAGTTGTGTTGTTTGATGGCGTTTTCTTGCTGGAATAGTTTGATCAGTTTGTTGTGTTGAATGTTGTTCTGTCTGTCCTCAGCTGTGAGCTCACTGAGGCAGCTTCCTGTTTGTTTGACTGTCAATAAGTCACACACACTTTAAAATAATAATAATTATAGCCTAATAATGTTGATGAACACTCACCCGTTTTCTTCTTTCTGCTGTGTTAACCCACTGACTGAACACTTCCTTACTGATTCACTTCCTCATGATGTCAGGGTCACACCGCCCGCGGAAGCGCTGCGAATAACCTCGAAGCGCCGAGAAGCGAAGCCAGTTTCCTTTCGGCGCCCATGTTAACCGATTGTGTCATCCACACCATAGATCCACACCAGCGATCGTTTCGGCGCCTGGTCTATTTTCTGCGCGAGCCGCGAGCGAATGTGTCAAGCCCGGCAGGAAGTCAAACAAAGGAACAACAAAAGCATCCGGTTAATTTTCAGAATAAAACAAATTTCAAAATAAAATACCCCGTTTGACAAATGCGATGTATGTATGTGTGTGTGTTTATATACTCATTACTAAGAAGTGGACATACATGTACAGTTGTTAGGAAATCATGGCGTATAATTTTATGAGGTTATTTACTTACCCATGATGGAAAAACAGCCCCAAATGTGATGGAGACAACAGCTGGGAGCAGTTTGTCGACCTGCATGGAGAAATGCGTGTCTGCGAGAATTTCAGTGCGCTGCGCCAAAGATACTGGATTACTACAAGATGGCCGTGAAAAAAAAATATTTTTTCCAGTGGATGTCTTAGTTACAACATGATTGAGCTAACTGGAGTAGTTTCATGTCGTATCCGACAACAGGAGGCTTTTAACAGATGACGTCCTGATGTTAGCTTTGCTGCTGCTGCTGTTAGCTGTCCCTGTCAGCTGCAGCCACTGATGCTTTCTAGACATCGTGATTTCCCAAAACTGAATAAATACCACACATAGCAACACAAAACTGCTTTGCTAGCTCAATCATATATCTGCTGGAAAAACTATTTTTTTAATCCAGTATCTTTGGTGAAACTGCACTGATTTCAGCACCAGAGAGGAGATATCTGTTGCCAGATCTCGCGAGAGTGTGTTGTTAAGACAGAGACAGGTCTTGAACAAAGTAAATTTTCTCCTGATTTGTCCATCTGAAATTTGCCATTTTGGTGTCGGAATGTTCTGAAGATATGTGGCTTGTGATAAATGGGTCCAGTATTTGCTTCCGTGACTATGGGGCGAAAGAATCGGCCATAATCTGTAATCACATTCATTTCTCCAAGTCAATGGACTCAGGACCTGCTGTTAGTCTCCTAAAGGGGCGTGGTGGTCGCGAACCCCACGTGATACTGATACAGGAAACTGACTCGCAGTGGACCGACTTGGTTTTCTTCACCGTCTTTGGCTGCGCTTCGCAGCACTTAGTTGGCAATGTGGCCCTGGCGTGATCCTCTCTCTAGCCGTTTCTCAATATGCGTTCTTGTGCGGACTTGTGCTCTTGTGGACTTGTGATACGTCATCAGTCACAGCCCAAGTACTGTTCCAATTCAAAGTTCACATCTAGTATAGCCAAATTCAGTCCAAATGCCCGGATGTGTTCTCGCCACGTCCCTTTTACCCATAGATAAACATAGATGCCGCACCCTGGCTTGTGGGCTGCGTCAATACCGCCGCCATCTTGCCTAGGTGCTCTGACAGGTTCAGACCCGTGTCAGACTTGGCAAAAATGCCACATTTTTGCTCTGCTTTTGGGTGTATGAACGAGAGAAGTGTTCAAACCAAGCAGAAGGGAATAACATTCCACAGGTAAGAAGTTGTTTTACAATATTTTACTGTTACGAAAATGTTTAATGAGATAAATATCTCAAAAAGTGATCCTTCTTTTAAGCTAACCTTAATCAAGTAAAGTAACTGTCCTGATCTGGTCCTAATGCCAAATTAAGCTAACGCTATGTCACACAATTTAAAGAAAAAAGGTTAACATTTATATAATATTACTTGTAAAATTATGATGCTTTGTCAAACAGCTGTGGTGTATGTGTTATTCCAAATTGTCAACTATCTGTTTCATGGCACCAACGTGACATAACGCAGCATAACGTTAGTAGTTAACTTGTGGCCTGAATTGTAACTACAAATTATGTGGAACTGCGTTTTTCTGACATACTTTTTTGTGTGTAGTTTCCCAAAAAACACAGATAGAGGACGGGCATGGGTAGCAGCAGTGAGGAGAAAGGACTTTGTCCCGAGTGACTCCTCAGTCATCTGCAGTTGTCACTTAAGACCTGAGGACTTCGACAGGACTGGGCAGACTGTCCGTTTAAGGGACGGAGTGACTCCCTCTGTATTATATTTTTGTAAATATGACCTAATAATGTAAACAGTTCTGTGTCCAGGCTCCCATGAGCACTGTGGTGTTATACATATGAGATTAAAGCAAAATTTTGTGTAAACATGCAGCTCTAAGTCATTTATTTTCACTTGTACAAAACCAACATTTGTTAATCAGAATGTGTAACTACACTACAGCTCGGCACAACCCTGCTGATACACTATTATTTGCACATTGTGTGACTTAAAATGTAAATAAACATTTATAAATTAATAATTAAATGACATCATGGTGAGCATTGTACATCTAGTAAGAAAAAAGAATATTTATTACATGGGGAAAGTTTAGTTTAAATGTGTTGTAGAACTATTACTGTTACTTTATCGACATAAGATCAAATATTTTGGTATGTAAAGCTGCATTTTTTATTTACGTATATACCTATGCCTTTTACAAGGGATGCATCAGAGCAGACTTGTGTGGACTTCAGACAGCCAGGTATCCCAGCATGCATTTCGCAACAATCATCGGAAAATGGCAAGTGAGGGAAAGGCGCACAATTGTAAGTCGTAATTACTGATATGTTACTGTTGTTCTGTCACAGAATGTAGTGTTTTCATGCGTAGTTTAAACTTCAGACCCCTGGTCGATGTATTAATATAGAGCCCATTTGAATGTAAGGTCCCGCCATATGACAGCGGTGTCAGCGCTCATAGATAATAAACGTGTGTATGAGCGCTCAGGCTGCCCCACCAAGAGCAGCCTCTCTCGGGTAGTCCTTTAACCTTTGTTGCTGATATCTCTGTAGTGGTTAAATATGAAAAGTAATTCGTTTGGGGTATGTCTAATTAGCAGTATTCATTCCCAGTAGGCTATATAAGATATATTATTATATTATTAAATATTGTAAGATTGTTAATTTAGTTGTTCTTTGTATGTATTCTTTTGCTTATTTATGTGTTTTTACCATTCAATAATGATTTTAAGAATTTATTGTAATTCATTTATTGTATTTAAAGATCAATTGTATTTATTGTAGTATTTATTTAACAACATTTTAAATATTGATTGTCTGATATGAACTGTATACCTGATGTCTGAAGTGTGGCTGAATAAAATTTTCCTGTCTGACCTGTTTGATTACATTTATATTGGTGAGGATAGGCTAAATGAGAAACTGCTGTCAGTATAATCTGTACAGTTCAACAGCACCACAATCTACAACTTCAATAAAGTGTTAGACTAAATACAATATTAAACTGCTTTTGTTTTTTTCTAGGTGTACCAAGTAAACTGTCAAGTCTCCATAAAAATGTAGACAGAAAGCATAATGATGAGACAAATGTAGTGATGGACAGTAACTAAGTATATTTACTCAAGTACTTAAGTACAGATTTGATGTACTTGTACTTTGGGTATTTCCATTTTGTGCTACTTTATACTTAGAGGTAAATACTGTACATTCTACTCAAGCTACATTTATTTGATAGCTATAGTTACTTTTCAGATAGTTTGTTTTATATGTTGTAAGTTTCGTTTTTGCAAGTTGATGTGCGTTGTTATAAATTAGACTAGTATACCAGTGAAAGGTGTTCAAATTATTTCTACCATGACAACATTTAAATGCTGCTTGCATGTAGCCTACGTGTAAATTGATCAATTAATACTCAATACATATTGATGTATGATGATTACATTTGAAATTGGGTCACTATGCATAATGAGTACTTTTAACTTTTCATTTTAAGTAGGCCTACATTTTGCTGACAATACCCAGATACTTTTATTCAAATCAGATTTGGTATGCAGCACTTTTGCTTGTGACTGAGTTTTTGTTTTTTGTTGTGATATTACTACTTTTTCTGGGTACTTTGTCCACAACTGGACAAACATATCAAACAGTTGAGACATGCAAGCATAGCACGTCTCATCCTCATCCTCCGCTCTCTTTCTCGGATCAGCCTCCTCAGCAGGGCAGCCTCCTCCTCAGCCTGCAGGTACAGCAATCCTGCTGCAATAACTGCACCAAGAGGCCTTCTCCGATCCATGTCCGTTATTGATTTTTGATTTCCATCTCCTCAATGCTCATGATCACAATAACCACCAACTCTCCACAAACTTTTCCCCCCACACCTGACTTTTGGTAATAATCAGAGGCCAGGTGCGAGAATTGGATATAGATTAAATATGATCAGAAGCCAGCTGCGGGAAAAAGGTTTTATAAGACATTTTATGAAAATATTTCGGCTATTTATATCTTTTTGTGTGTCAGTTTTATATGTTGAAACGTTAAGACATATACATATTAATTTCTTACAATGACAGTGAAAAGACGCAGGGCTGGGCTGTGTTTATATTGTTTTATTCTAAATGCATGGATACAACACAGTACAACAGCCAAGGCGAGCGGAGGTGGTGACATCATCAAGTTCGCTGCTGTTCCAAAAGCAGAAATGACTGTACTCCTGTACTCCCGTACTCCCGTACTCCCGTTCTTGGGAAGTCCGGACTCTCGCATGGACTTGTTAAGTCCGAACTTGCCAAGTCCACAAGTCCGAACTCCTGAACTTGAGTATTGAGAAACGCCTTCAGACTCAGTGTTGCTCCCTTGCGGTGCCAGCTGACATCTTCCTGTTGGTGTCACACATCTGGACATAGTGTCCCAATTCAGGAGCTGTGTCCCAATTCAGGGTCTGCATCCTTTGAAGAGCGAATTTGAAGGCCGCTTACGTCCCAATTCCTCCAAATTCGAAGGCTCTTCCGAATGCAGCTGACAAATACGCCGTCCTTTTCCCTGTATTCGGAGGATGCGCCGGTACTATCCTTCGCGGCCTCCCATATCCCAAGATTCTTTTTTTCTGACAATGCACAAAGCACAAGCAGCGGCAGCGGCACCGACACCGAATACACTTTCAAATGTAAGTAACGGATTTTTACTTAATGCCAGAAGTTCAAGGGGCCTTAAAACCTCTAAATGGCTGTTAAAATATGTGACGTTAGTAGTATGCTAACACGTAGCCACCGGAAGGTAGCGCAAGCTCCGCGATGTAACTGTTAGCTTAAGGCTAATCTGTT